AGACTCTTGATCTCAGCTCAGGTCTTGATCCCAGGGTCATGAGTTCAAGCCCCATGTTGGGCTCTACACTGGAGTTGAATTCAACTTCCAAATTAGCAAGATTCCTGGAGCCTACTTAAATAAATTAATTAAAATAAAATAAGTCAAGGGGATAGAAAGTACAACATAGGGATTAGTCAATAATAGGGTAATAACTTTGTACACTGACAGATGGTAACTAAACTTATCAAGGTGAGCATTTTGAAATGTTTATAATTGTCAAATCACTGTTATATACCTAAAACTAATATGTCAAATATACTTCAATTAAAATTTAATAGGGGTGCCTGGGTGGCTCAGTCAGTTAAGAGTCTGCTTCCTGCTCAGGTCATGATCCCAGGGTCCTGGGATGGAGCCCTCATCAGGCTCCCTGCTCAGCAGGGAGTCCGCTTCTCCCTCTCCTGCTCCCCCTGCTTGTGCTCTCCCTCTCTGTCAAATAAATAAATACTTAAAAAAATAAAATTGTTAATAAATACAATAATGATGTCCTGAAGAAATAAAGAAATAAATAAAATGCAAAAAAAAAAAGTATATGACACCGCTTGAGGTAATCCTCCATGAGGCATTCTGAAAACTCTATTGACTCCTGGAGGCATCTATGGAAAAACCAAACAGTCAGGGAAAGGAAAATATCTGGCTCATCGGCTGCCCTCCCCCTTCAAACAGTCAGGGGAAGATTACAGGAATCTTGCTAATTTGGAAGTTGAATTCAAGTTTAAACCTAACGGCCATCCTTGCTGTGGCCTCTGAAGATTTTTTTCAGTATCTATGTCATTGATGCTCCATCCAGACTGAGCACCGGAATCCCCAGAGGGGTCTAAGCATCTGTATTTTAATAAAAGCCACAAAGGAAAATCATTGGTAAAAAGTGTAAAATGTGTACCTAAATTCAAAAAAGAAAAAAAAAACTCCTCACAATGACTTTAGAGTCACTCCCAATAGGTAATCTGAGGCCAAACCATCTGCTTGTTAGCAAGCTGAGCCTTCTGTTCGGTAAAGAGGACAGGAGGGACACTAGATTCAGGATGTAAATCAACGTCATTTTTTAAATACTGTAGATTATAGATGTGTTAAAGATGGATAATTCAAAGAAAATGAACAAATGACAACCTACATAATACGGATGACTGTCACAATGCAAAAGATGCAAACGGAAGTACAAAAATGAACAAAATTACTCTATGCTGAATTCTAAAGTAAGCCTAGTGGCTACCCTTGAGGTATTAGGCAGTAACTGGAAAGGGAGCAACTGGGGCTTCTGGAAAGTGGTCATGCTCTGTTTCTTGATCTAGGTGCTGTTTAACAGTTGTGTTCAGTTTGTGAAAATTCATCACACCAAATGCACTTTCCTGTACACATTATTGAACAAAAAATACTTTTCAAAAGCCATAATGTCTCAGTTTTTTTCTAAAAGTCAAAGTAAGGGGCGTCTGGGTGGCTCAGTGGGTTAAGCATCTGCCTTAGGCTCAGGTCATGATCCCAGGCTCCCTGCTTCTGTCCCTCCCCCTGCTTGTCCTCCTCTTGCGTGCACTACCCCACCCCCCGCCCCCGAGTAAATAATATCTTTTTAAAAAAAAAGTCCAGGGCACCTGGGTGGCTCAGTCATTAAGCGTCTGCCTTCAGCTCAGGTCATGATCCCAGGGTCCTGGGTTCGAGCCCCACATCAGGCTCCCTGCTCAGCAGGAAGCCTGCTTCTCCCTCTCCTACTCCCCCTGCTTGTGTTCCCTCTCTCGCTGTGGCTCTGTCAAATAAATAAAATCTTTAAAAAATAAAATAAAATAAAATAAAAATAAATAAATAAAAAAGTCCAGGTAGAACTAATTTTCACCATTTTACAATTTCTTTACACTTTTTCTCAATTGTTTGGATTCAAATACAGTAGTTCACACACCCATATACAATGTATCATTAATGACCTGCCTAACCTTAAAATTTAGGTTTTAACATCCTAAGAGTACCCAAAGATAACAAAGATGGATGCTAAGCTAAAGCAGTGAATTTATTAAGCTATATATTGTGCCTAAAGCTTGGAACTTAATATCAAACATAAATTAAAATCTAATATTAACAAGCATAAATGCCTAGGCTCTCAGTAAAGAGTAATTCCTGACCTCCTAAAAAGAGAGATACAAGTTGAAGACATGGGGGGGAAATCTCCCAAAACTTATGGAGAAGGTGACAGGTTTGGTTATTAGTTCTGTAAAGATGTGGACAGAAGTTATATAGGTTAATCCCTAAAACCTAAATATAAAGCAATGCCAAATCCCAAGCCCACCCACTTCCATTTCAACTCCCTGCCTGCAAAAGGGGAAACAGAAAATTTCTCTATGTGACTGTTGAAATCAGCAAGAAAATAGAATTGGCTAGTGTCTGAACCTTAGCCACGATATGGAAAGTACAGTGGCTCCTGACATAAACACAACACATGGTTTCAATTACCTTGCCACCAAAGAAATTTAAATTGTCTACATTTTTTAAGTACCATTAAGCTTCGGGGCACCTGGGTGGCTCAGAATGGTTAAATGTCTGCCTCCAGCTCAGGTCATGATCTCCAGGGTCCTGGGAATCGAGCCCCGCACTGGGCTCCTGACTCAGCGAGGAGTCCGCTTCTCCCTTTCCCTCTGCCTCTCCCCCCTGCTCATGCTCGCTATCTCGGTCTCTCTCTCAAATGAATAAATAAAATCTTAAAAAAAAAAAAGTACCATTAAGCTTCAACAAATTCTTTATCTTATGAAAATCAAGCACAGAAACAGAGCAAGTCAATATGCCTGAGCTTAACCTTTTCCAGTAACATACTTGAGGCAAAAAGGGGCTTTTTCACCATAATTTCTCACTTGAAGTGACTCAAATCCAAAAGCTAATTTTGGTTTTAGTTGGGGTTTTTGTTTCTTGGTTTTGTTAAGTTTTAGTTTTACGCACAGGATGTATCCACACAGAAAACTATCAAAAACTATAAACCAAAACATTCACACAGGAATATAGATGACTTGTTTTCTTCATTTTTTCTGTATTTTCTAAAATGTTACTTTTGTTCCAAAGGAAAAAGATAAAGACTTAAAGAAAAATGTTTATTACCAAGATTCTAAATTGTGAAGCCTAAAACTTTGGCAAGTTGAATACTTCCTAAAATCACATTTCTAGGACACTCTACATCAACAGACCATCCCCAACTTAACAATTTTTCAACTTTATGATTGTACAAGAGTGATACTTCAAATTTTGATCTTTTCCTGGGCTGGTGGTATGCATACAATTTGCTAGGCACAGCCACAGGACCACAAGCATAACCAATGATAGACTTAGAGCCATTCTGTTTTTCACTCTCAATACAGCATTCAAAAAATTACATGAACTATTCAACACTTCATTATAAAATAAACGCTGTGATAGAGGATTCTGCCAACTGCAGACTAACGTAAACGTTCTAAGCACGTTTAAGGTAGGCTAAGCTAAGCTATGATGTTTGGTAGGTTAGGGGTATTAAATGCATTTTCAACTTAAAATATTCAATTTATGATGGGTTTATCAGAACATAACCCTATCATAAATTGAGGCAGATCTGGGGGTTGTTTTCCCAAAGAACAAAAAGGAATTTCACAGTCTGCTTCCATCATAACTCAGTAATTAATAAACACACTGAGCCCCTTTCACACCCAGAGGGACCTCTTTTCAAGTGATCATTATTAAAACCTGCAAATGGGAAACCTAAATATTGCAAATATTCTAGACATTTATATCAAATAAATTTTAATTCACTAATTACTAAATACTAGGAGGGCACAGCCCATATAAAACTCACCTATATCTAGTAAGTTTTGGTGAAGTAAGACTAAATTGTATTATAAAGATTACATTTTTTGCCCACCTCTGTGAATTGGGAAAACTTTATTAAAAATCAAAACATAACTTGGATATTTCTGTATTTTCTGTATCTGACTCTCAAAATGTACTGTTTGTAGATTTCATGCTGAGATAAAACAAGCTTCTAGAACCATCTCACCATATGTGATTTATAGAATATCCATCCAATCATCTGGCTGATTGGCTGCAAATCTCTAAAAACAATTTTTGTAAATAAACAGATATGTGATGAAGCAAATATAGGGAAACGTTAATGACAGAACCTAGGAGGAGAATATACAGATGTCCACTTTAGCATTTTTCTTCAACTTTTCTGTGCGAAAATTCTCAAAAGATACCAAGGTGAAAATAATCTTTCGAAATCACAACACGAAGACAGATCTATAGCGACTGTAACCTACCTATGGCTGTGAGGCCTTTCATCAAATCACAAACCCAACATTTTTAGCACCCCCCAAAAAAGTCCTTCCATAAGATGGCAAGATTTTCTGGAGACTAGTGAAGCGATAAAATATAAAAGTGATACTAAAAATAATGTCTTACCCAAAGGAAGGCTACCTAGGAAGTCATTTTCCAGGAGGTGACATGAGATTTTTGTTGGACTTTTATCAGATGTAAAACAACTTTTGCCTCCATTACCATTTCACCGAAATTTTTCAAAATTCCAAACAGTACACTTTAAGTTTTGGCTTTTTTTTTTTTTTTTTAAATCTCCCAAAAAGCAGATCCGTGGAGCCCCCCCAGGTCCTAAAACCTGCGAAACCCAGAGTTCGGGGCGCTGGTGGTTCCGGGTGTTTCACTCTAACGGGCAGTCTCCAGGTGGGATTGTACCCTGGGGTCTACACGGGTTAAACAGGCGGAAAAAGGAAGACATACAGACCGCCAGGGAGTCAAAATCAAAGGAGTGACTGTGTAAGAAGGAAGGGAAAATCCAAGCAATCGGTGCGGGGAGGATCTGGAAGCACCGGGCCAGCTGGGCGGTCAGCTCAGGAACTCGGAGGGCAGACGCGCAGAGCCGGAGGCCGGGCTCCCGCCTGCGCCCGCGTCCCGCGCCGGCCGCCAAACTCCGGCCGCCCCCGCCCTGCCCGCCGCGCCCGCACCTCTCGGTCCTTGAGGCCCAGCAGGAGCACCTCCTCCATCAGGGTCAGCCTGGTTTCCTTGGAGTCGCCCTTGTCGTCGTCGTCCTGCTCGTCGCGGCGGCTCTGCGCGTCGTCCTCGCTGCTGCCGCCGCCGCCGCCGCCGCCCGCCACCCGCTCCTTGTCCGCGGCGTTGCGGGAGGCCTCGGTGCGCCGCTGCACCAGGCCCGAGCTGCGCTGGGTCAGCGAGGTCATGGCTCCCGCCGAGACGCCGGGCCGAGAGGGACGCGGGACCTACCGGGTCTCCCTCCTCCTCCCCCCGCGGCCCCTGACCCGGGCTTCCGTGTTAAATCCCGGCTCCGGGGCGACGTCTGTCGGCAGCTGGGCCGGGAGCAGTCATGGGGAGACGGGTCGGGGCGAAACGGGCGGGCCGGGCGCCGGCGAGGCGGAAGAAGGGCTCTTCCCTCCTGCGGCCGCGAGCCCGGAGGCAGCCCGAGCTCCTAGGTAGAGAAGGGGGTGGAGGTGGTGGCGGTGGCGGTGGCGGTGGCGGCGGCGACGGCGGCTGCGCCTTCCCAATATGGCGGCGCTGGCTGACGTCACCGGAGATGTGGCACAGCCGGCTCGGGGCGGGGCGGGCCGGGCCCGGAGGGCGCCGGAAGCCCCGGGCTGGGACCTGGCGGCGGGGGCGAGGGCGGGTATCCGCTGACTGTGACCCCTTCCCGGGCTCTGGGGTATCCGCGGGCGCTCGTCCTCAGCTTGGCGTCCCTTGGCCGCCGGGCCCGCAGTCCCCCTCCCGTGGCCCATGACGTGTCCTCCCTTCGTCCGCCTCCCCTTTGGCCCCTCGAAAAAGAGGGCCTGCAGCCAGAGACTGGTGAGGCCCCCCCCACGAATGGGGGAGCCGTGGCCTTGCGAGGGTGGACCCCGCTCAGCCTCAAGCCATGCCCTTACCGCTCCCGACACCACCATCCTCGGAGCTGGCCGCGGGCGGGGGGAAGGGGCGGGGGGGGCGGCAGGGACCCGGCTTGGAGTCCGGGGTCCCCAAGAGACACAGGAAGGGCTTTGCTCGCTGCTGATGGAGCGAGAGTTCGCTCTCTGCCCACGCGCCCTGACCCTTCAGAAGGAATAACTGTATTTAAATGGCCTGAAAGTGGACTTTTAGTGTTTACTACGTGTATTAAAGAGAGGTTAGAACAAATTGAATAGTTTTGTTTATAAAACTTTCCTCGCCTCCGACTTGTAAAGTGACCAGGCGCAGTGAGTACAGTTAGTACTGTACCCGACAGTACACTTGACCTTAACGATCTTTTTTTTTTTTTAAAGATTTTATTTATTTGACAGAGAGAGACACAGCGAGAGAGGAAACACAAGCAGGGGGAGTGGGAGAGGTTGAGAAGCAGGCTCCCGCAGAGCGGGGAGCCCGATGTGGGACTCGATCCCAGGACCTTGGGATCACGACCTGAGCCGAAGGCAGCCGCCCAACGGACTGAGCCACCCAGGCGCCCCCTTAACGATCTTTTTATAGAGACAATAAACCCGTTGGGTTTGTCTTTGTACAAATTAAATTTCCCCCAATTTTATTACCAGGTGAAATCCTCTTGGCGTGCTTGACAGTTACGCAAGTTATGATATACCATAGATGTCAAACCTGAGGGGGAGTTTGGAGGGCCAGAAGGGTGGAGCTTATAAACAAAACATCCGGAAATGGTATCGGATGCCATGCGGTGTAACTTAAAATCAACAATGACGACAGGCTGTGGCTACAGTATGATTTAGACAGGAGAAATATATTGTTGTAACAGGACTTGAGCTGTAATAAATGATAAACGCCCACAGTAAAACTATCCCATAGAACATTCTCGCTACAGAGGCAAAGGCCCATTTCACCTCAACCGATTTCTCCCATTCAACATCCTGTTCAACTTTTTTTTTCTTTTACTTCTCTACCAATTCTTTCCCAAATAGCTTAAAATGTTTCTTTTTAAAAGAAATTTAATTATTTGTTTAGTATAGTCAAATCCATATAGTTCAAGGAATAAAAAATTAATACAGTGAAAATCTTCCTTCCAGCCCTGCCCCTGGTCACCCAGTTTTTCCCCTCTTCTCCTTGCCTGGTGGTTTCAAAAAATACCTCAACAAATTCTCTGATGTGCCTCTCAGAAGAGGAAGCCTTACTCCCCTTTCCTTGAGTGTGGGCCTGACTCTGACTCTCTGCAAATGAGTAGACTGTGTGGTGTGACTCCGTGTGACTTAGACTAGATCATAAAAGTCTGCGGCTTCTTTTCTTGTTCTCCCTCTCCCCACGCCTCTCCTCCGTCTCTCTCTATCTCTCAGATCATTCACTCTGAGAGAGGCGGGCTGCCATATCTTAAACACTCAAGCAGTTTTATGGAGAGGTCCACTTGGGGAGGAACTGAGACCCCAGGCACAGAACAATAGGAGTGAGCCATTCTGGGAAGCGGATCTCCCAGCCCCAGTCAAGTCCTTAGTTCACATTTGATTGCAATTTCATGAAAGACTCTGAGCCAGTCCTGAACTTCTGAGCTACATAAACTGTGAGATAATAAATATTGGTTGTCCTAAGACACTACGTTTAGTTAGCATCTTATGCAGTTCTGCAGTGATAGGTATTAAAATACCTGGGTGCTTATACGAACAAATAGATGACAACTAATAGTATTGTTATGAAAATCGGGGGTGTGAAGCTGGGTTGGTCAGTAGAGCATGCAACTCTTGATCTTGGGGTTGTGAGATGGAGCCCCACAGTTGGGTGTAGAGATTACTAAAAATACATAAATAAACTTAAAAAAACAGTATTGTTATGAAAATCAATACAGGGAGGGGTGCCTGGGTGGCTCAGATGGTTAAGTGTCTGCCTTCGGCTCAGGTCATGATCCCAGGGTCCTGGGATTGAGCCCCCTTGTTGGGCTCCCTGCTCGGTGGGGAGCCTGCTTCTCCCTCTCCCTCTGCCATTCCCTCTGCTTGTGCTCTCTGGCTCTATCCCTCTGTCAAATAAATAAAATCTTTAAAAAAAAATAAAGTAAAAAAAAGAAAATCAATACAAGGAAACCTCACTAAAGTAGAGGTCAGGAGGCTGGACAGAGGAGGCTACAAGAGTGAGCCTTAACTGCACTACCTACTATTGCATTTCTCTGGTGCTCCCAAATAAACCCATTTTTGCTGGTAAAATAACTGACTTTTACTAATGTTTTCTTGGATTTCCTTCCAGAGATTTTTTTTTATGTATATTCAAGCAAGTATGAAAACGGTTTCCTTCCTTTTTTATGTAAATAATAGCACATAATACACATTGTTTTGTATCTTGATTTTTTTCACTTAATGTTGGAAAACATTCTATATCAATACTTAACAGCTTCTTCATACTTTGTTTCGGCTGCAGTGTATTCTATTGTAATTACTTTTTTCTTTAGTCAACCCCCTATAGATGGACATTTAGGTCGTTTCCAATTCCTTGCTATTACAAACAATGCCATAATAGATATAATGAATAGCCACATGTATTTTGTCCACAAAAATGCATGCTCATGGTCTATTCATACGCACTCTTGAGATTACTGAGACTTTACATAACTTCATTGTTTGTTTTTTCAGAGGTTTTCTAGCATTTTTTTCCCTTGTTTATTTTCCACAAGCTAGACTTCAAAATCACCTTACTTGGAAAGAAAGAAAAAGAATGAAGGAAGGAAAGAAGAATATGGTATTTTGGGAACCAAAATATATCTTCCTAATAACAGTGCCTGTTAATTGACTGCTGAGTATATGGGCAGGCATGTTCTCCAGTAACCCCACCAGAATCCTGCAGAGAAGGCGCTGTTCCTGCACCACATAAACCCCAACCTCCTCGTGCAGCAAAGCCTGTCAGCACACTTATGCCCAAGCAGAGGTACCTAGAAGTACAAGGGAGTTAGCACTTAAAGCGGGTAAAGTTCCCCTTTCTCTCCTCAAATGGGTCACTGAGATCCTTTCTACAATTTCTCTGCAGTACTTAGCTGCAGCAAGTTCAACAACACATTCCTGCTATGTCTCTCTGCCCTTCACTCCACCCTTCCCCTCTTCCTCGCTTCTGTTCTTGGGAGTTGCACTCTCTAACAAAATAGTGGCACAAAAGCCTTTGTCTTAAGCTCTGCTTTCTCAGAATCCCAGATTACAACACCCGTTTACTTGTGAAGAAACTGCAGTTCAGAGAGATTAAGTAATCTGTCCAACACACCACATCTGGTAAATTGCAAGCCTGCATTAATGAAAAACATATTTGCATTAGAACCCCGGTCCTTAGTTCAATCATTAAATATTTGTATGTATATATATTTGCTGTATGCCAGGCACTGTGCTAGGCAATGAGAATGTTACTAAAACCAAAAGAGACACCACTCAGTTTTCATGAGGCTGTTTAGTGGAGGGCACAGATATTAAGCAAATCATCACACATTAATGATAAATTGAGAACTGCTTTGAATATATTTGAATACAGAAGGAATATAGTATTATGAGAGCATATATTCTCAAATATATGAGAAACTTATATTTTATCTGAGACTCAAGGAAAGCAACTCTGCAGAAGTAGTAAGCCAAAGAATGAACAGAAATTAACTAAACCAAACCTCTCATTCCTGAGAAAAAATTGCATGTGGAAAGGCCCTCTGGCAAGGAGAGATCATGGGATGATGGAGAATGAAATAGAAAACCATTTTGGCTAGCCTAAGGGGGAGAGTGTTGTCAAAAGCAAGAGTGACAGACAAGGATCAAATCATGCAGTGCCATAAGGCCATTTAAAGATTTTGATCTTTTTCCAACCAAACACAATGAGAAGCCATCAAAGATGCTTTTAAATGCCTCCCTTGTGGGGCGTCTGGGTGGCTCAATCGGTTAAGTGACTGACTCTTGATTTCAGCTCAGGTCATGATCTCAGGGAGTCTCTCTCTCTCTCTCCCTCTGCCCCTCCCCACTTACTCTCCCCCAAATAAACAAATAAATAAATGCCTCCCTTGTAGGGGAAAGAATGGAATGGGTGGGTATGTAATATTACCAGATTTGCATTTTGAAAAGCTCCCCCAATACACGAAAGAGATGGTCACGATTGATACAGCAGCCAGTTAGTTTTGTAGTAATCTCAACAGGACCTGATAGTAACTTAACTATGACCATGGAAGAAGAGATAGTAGGAAGTGGAAGTTTCCAAGAGATGCTTAGGAAGCAAAATTAATGAACTCAGTGGAAGACTGACTATGGAGTGGGTGAGCCACAAGGAAGAGAGGTTTTCAAGGACAACTCCCCATCTCTGTCTTGTGTAAGAATGTATAGGACAGCCCACTGAGATAGGGACCACTGGGCCCTGACCAGGTTTGCATTTGAGTATATTTCAGTTCAGTTTTTGAGAAGTGTATGACACTTCCAAGAAGAGATGTTGTATAGGTAGTTGGATATACAGGTGCTTTCTGTTTTAATCTGATAAAAATTTCAAAACACCTAGAAAATGGAACTGTAAAAGCACAAGAAGAAAACTATGAGTGAACTCTTTTATAACCTTGGAGAAAAGACGCCTT